ACAGTAGTCCCTGTAAGAAGAGCTCTGCAAGCTCTCAGAGGATTGGCTACATTAGGGGTGTGTCACCTAATATGCAAAGGAGCTCCTGCCACAAAAAGAGCCCTGGGCGACCCAAGAGCTTACAGTAGTCCCTGTAAGAAGAACTCTGCAAGCTCTCGGAGGATTGGCTACATTAGGGGTGTGTCACCTAATATGCAAAGGAGCTCCTGCCACAAAAAGAGCCCTGACAAACCCCTAATGTAGCCAATCCTCCAAGAGCTTACAGTAGTCCCTGTAAGAAGAGCTCTGTAAGCTCTCGCAGGATTGGCTACATTAGGGGGTGTGTCACCTAATATGCAAATGAGCTCCTGCCACAAAAAGAGCCCTGACAAACCCCTAATGTAGCCAATCCTCCAAGAGCTTACAGTAGTCCCTGTAAGAAGAACTCTGCAAGCTCTCGGAGGATTGGCTACATTAGGGGTGTGTCACCTAATATGCAAAGGAGCTCCTGCCACAAAAAGAGCCCTGGGCGACACACCCCTAATGTAGCCAATCCCCCAAGAGCTTACAGTAGTCCCTGTAAGAAGAGCTCTGCAAGCTCTCGGAGGATTGGCTACATTAGGGGGTGTGTCACCTAATATGCAAAGGAGCTCCTGCCACAAAAAGAGCCCTGGGCGACTCACCCCTAATGTAGCCAATCCCCCAAGAGCTTACAGTAGTCCCTGTAAGAAGAGCTCTGCAAGCTCTCGGAGGATTGGCTACATTAGGGTGTGTGTCACCTAATATGCAAAGGAGCTCCTGCCACAAAAAGAGTCACAACCAACAAAAAGGTACATAGGTTTTATATAACATCTAACTAGGCCAGGGGTGGCCAAACTGTGGCTCAGGAGCCGCATGCGGCTCTTTCACGCATATTGTGCGGCTCCTGGCAGGGCAGCTGGGGGAGCGGAATATCATTCGCAAGCAAACAAATATCATTGGACAAAGAAATATCATTATCAACACCTGCTTTTACCGCTTTCGTTATTATTTTTGGCAGTCTCATTTATGATGTTAATAAAAAGCAAATCGGAATATTTACCAGTGATATTTGTTCCTGTCCTGCGGCTCTCAAACATCCGACGTTTATTCTCTGTGGCTCTTACGTCAAACAAGTGTGGCCACCCCTGGTCTAGTGTTGAAGATGAATTAGATTAATCCATACTTATGTCTCCTTACGTTTATATCTGTGTCTCTTTACATAAACTGTGTTCTTCTCGTTTCCTTCTTTCAAAACGATCATTCATTATGCATTAAAACATCCATCGTCATTATTAGCTTCCCAAGCTCTAGCCCAGTGGTGGTGAACCTATGGCACGGGGGCCAGAGGCGGCACTCAGAGCCCTCTCTGTGGGCACGCGTACCATCGCCCCAGCCAGGCCCAGACCGTCATTAAAGTGTCGAATTCTCTGCCAAATAATTTTAAGTAAATGAAAGCATTTGGGATGGCTTTCCTTACTTTGTTTGGACCATCTTAATGTATGAGTTGTTTCTTCTAAAGTAAAACCTCAGTATTCAGGTTAAATTGCCGTGTTGGCACTTTGCGATAAATAAGTGGGTTTTGGGTCGTAGTTTGGGCACTCGGTCTCTAAAAGGTTCGCCATCACTGCTCTGGCATCTTCTGTCTTCTCCTTTCAATCCTTCTGGAGCTGAGACTAAAGTCTGTGAGCCGGAGGCTAAAAAAAACTGTGAGCTGGCTCGCACTAACTCAGCTTAGAGGGAACACTGAATACGGAATTTGATGGACCAGGGGTCTGATTTCATATAAGGCAGTTTCATAAGGAGAGGGTCCGTGGGTCCATGGAAGAGCCTCTCCTTTGCGTGCAGAAGGTCCAGATTCAATCCCTGGCACCTGCGGGTAGTAGGTGATGGGAAAGACCTCTGCTCGAGACCCTGGAGGGCTGCCGCCGGTCCGAGTAGACAAGACTGACCTTGATGGATCGAGGGTCTGAATCGGTCCAAGTCAGCTTCGTGTGTTCATGTGAATTAAAACGGGGCACCCGAGTCCAAATTTGGCAAGTTTCAATCTGGCTGTCAAAACGTGACGTGTGTTTTTTTTGGGGGGGGACAAGGGCTAGGATCTAGCCTACCTGAGGGACCGCCTTTCTCCATATGTTCCCCCAAGGGCACTAAGGTCGGGGGGGCATCATTTCCTGGAAATTCCAGGCCCTAGAGATGTTAAATTTGCAGTGACCAGGACCAGGGCATTTTCGGTGGCGGCTCCTACCTGGTGGAAAGAGCTCCCGGAAGAGATCCGGGCCCTCCGGGACCTTTCTCAGTTCCACAGGCCCTGTAAGACGGAGCTCTTCCGCCAGGCCTTTGAGCAGGAGCTGCCGCCACCATTATTCCACCTCCGCCTCCTGTGCACTGCCGTATTACCATCATGATTATCTGGACCCCACTGGGGGGGAGCGAGGTGTCCGGGCAGGGATTGGATGACAAGATCTCAGGAAGTTATTATGGAGGTTAAGATCTACCCATCTTGGTTAAATTTGTATTGTAAATTTGTTACTATATTTTATTGTAAATTATTGTTTTATTGTTATAACCTTGGCACATAGTGCCCTTGTCAGCCGCCCTGAGCCTTCGGGGTAGGGTGGGATATAAATCCAAACATAAATTTAAAAAGTAAATAAAAAATAAAGAGTTGCGGGGAAGATGTGGTGGCCCGCCCTCTTGGTGGTGGGTTGGGGGATCTACCCCTGGGCCCTTCGGGGGCTTCCGAGCATGCCGACCATCACTAGCCCCGGTAGGAGACCCCTTCGAAGTAGATGCATGTGATTTGGGGACGTTAACCCAGGAAGATTGGCCAGGGAAAGTTTGGGCTGATGCCAACCTTGTCCTCATTCCATTTATAGTACTGACAGTGCTCAGGGCCTTCCCTTGCCGGTCACGCCTCGGAGATGCAGAGACGGCGGCTGCTGTGGAGGAGGAGGTGAGGTGGGGGGCACGAAGGGGGCTCACAGAACGGCACCTCCCAGACTAAGGAGCGGCGTCTCCCAAGCTCTGTGCTGGGATAGACTGGAGGGCCGCCATCGTCTACCAAGGTAGAGATTTCATAATATTTCCCTCCCCAATGGCTGCTTTCAGTCAATCATGCAGCTGCGACAGGCAACCTCCTCTGGGTTGTTCCGTTTCCTAGAAGACTTTAGGGTGCCTGTTAGAGATGCGCAGGGGTCATTTCGTAGAAAAAGAGATGCAGGAGCTCATTAGCATAACTCATTAGTATAACTCATTTGCATATGCCACACCCCCTGACCTCACCGGGGGTCTGTCAGAAGGCTCCACTGGACTGTTTTGGATTGCTAGCTATTTGGGTGGGGGGACGTGCAGATCTGTCCTCGCAGAGGAGGGAGAGCTTGTACCTGAATAAAACTTGGTCTTAAAGGTGCCACTGGACTGTTTTGGACCGGGGGGCCGGGGGGGAGCTCTGCAACTTACCTGGCTGCTTCTTGCTCTGACTGAGGGCTGCTGGGAGCAGGGGGCAGGGCTTGTTGCATGTGCCCGCCCCCTGGGCTCTTTACTGCCGGAGCTCCGCTCCTGTGCGCTCCTGCAGGAAATGACCCCTGGAGATGCGCGATTGATGGGAAGAAGGCACATGCTGTCGATGAGGGTCGTGTTGTCCAAAAATCTACTTTGGGTGCAACCAGATGGCTCCCTCGCTCCCGGTGCCTGTTCTGTCTCTGCATGAGTCATACCGCTACGCTCTCACCTTTCCAATGGGGAGGCTCAGCCCAAAATGGTGGCGAAGACGTAATGAGGTGGACTCCTTCACCAGCAGTTATTCATCTAAATGTGTGGTGGTGAATTTTTTTTGGGGGGGGAGGAATAAACATATTCCAGCTAAATTGAAATGAGCATTTCAGGGCTAGAAATGTTAACCTCACAGCTAGGAAATGAGGGTTCAGTGAAGAAACAAATCTGCTGAATTGGACCACCAGAATTAATCATTGTGGGGATAATGCAGGATTATTTTTTTTTAATGTACATACTGAAGCTCTGACCTGGGTGGTCCAGGCTGCCCTCATCTCATCAGATCTCGGAAGCTAAGCAGGGTCGGTCCTGGTTGGTACTTGGATGGGAGACTGACGAGGAATACCAGGGCAGGCGATAGCCAACCACCTCTGAACGTCTCTTGTCTCGAAAACCCCACAGGGCTGCCATAAGTCAGCCGCGACTTGATAGCAATTTCCACCACCGCCGTATTAAATCTATATACCGCAGGGGTCATTTCCTGCAGGAGCGCACAGGAGCAAAGCTCCGGCAGTAAAGACCCAGGGGGCGGGCACATGCAACAAGCCCCACCCCCTGTTCCCAGCAGCCCTCAGTCAGAGCAAGAAGCAGCCAGGTAAGTTGCAGAGCTCCCCCCAGTCCAAAACAGTCCAGTGGCACCTTTAGGACCACGTTTTATTCAGGTACAAGCTCTCCCTCCTCTGCGAGGACAGATCTGCACGTCCCCCCACCCAAATAGCTAGCTAGCCATCCAAAACAGTCCCGTGGAGCCTGAGCGGTGGGTGTTGCCTTCTGACACACTTTCGGTGATGTCAGGGGGTGTGGCATATGCAAACAAGTTACGCTAATGAGTTACGCTAATGAGCTCCTGCACCTCTTTTTCTACGAAATGACCCCTGATATACCGTAGTCTTCTCACAGTTCCAAGGTTCCTACAAAACACGGGTTCTTTTAAAAACTGCTGGGGTTTTGGCATTTTTAAAATACCTTGTAATCCACCTCGGGGCCCCAAGCAGGACAGATGGACTGTGGATAAAGCAAATGAAATCAGTTTTCACTCGGATCTTCTTGGGGGCTTGGTTCCTTTAAGCAAAAAAAAGAAAAGAAAAAGATCCTTTTCCTCTCTGTGACAAGAAGGGCTCGAACCCTGCTCTAGCGTCTCTCTTGTCCTAACTTGTCACCTCTGTTTGCTAGAAGAGGCCAGCCTGGTTTCTTGCCTGCTGGGATGGATTTCGAGGTGAGCAGGCTCACTTAGAGCCGTGTGTCTTCCTATGGAGTCACAAAAGAACTTATCCAGGCACAGTTTCTCTGTCTGAACTGCATGAGCAGGGGACATTTCGTAGAAAAAGAGGTGCAGGAGCTCATTAGCATACCTTATTTGCATATGCCACACCCCCTGACATCACCGGAAGTGTGTCAGAAGGCCACCCACCGCTCAGGCTCCACTGGACTGTTTTGGATTGCTAGCTATTGGGGGGGGGGATGACGTGCAGATCTGTCCTCGCAGAGGAGGGAGAGCTTGTACCTGAATAAAACTTGGTCTTAAAGGTGCCACTGGACTGTTTTGGATTGCTAGCTATTGGGGGGGGGGATGACGTGCAGATCTGTCCTCGCAGAGGAGGGAGAGCTTGTACCTGAATAAAACTTGGTCTTAAAGGTGCCACTGGACTGTTTTGGATTGCTAGCTATTGGGGGGGGGGATGACGTGCAGATCTGTCCTCGCAGAGGAGGGAGAGCTTGTACCTGAATAAAACTTGGTCTTAAAGGTGCCACTGGACTGTTTTGGATTGCTAGCTATTGGGGGGGGGGATGACGTGCAGATCTGTCCTCGCAGAGGAGGGAGAGCTTGTACCTGAATAAAACTTGGTCTTAAAGGTGCCACTGGACTGTTTTGGATTGCTAGCTATTGGGGGGGGGGATGACGTGCAGATCTGTCCTCGCAGAGGAGGGAGAGCTTGTACCTGAATAAAACTTGGTCTTAAAGGTGCCACTGGACTGTTTTGGATTGCTAGCTATTGGGGGGGGGGATGACGTGCAGATCTGTCCTCGCAGAGGAGGGAGAGCTTGTACCTGAATAAAACTTGGTCTTAAAGGTGCCACTGGACTGTTTTGGATTGCTAGCTATTGGGGGGGGGGATGACGTGCAGATCTGTCCTCGCAGAGGAGGGAGAGCTTGTACCTGAATAAAACTTGGTCTTAAAGGTGCCACTGGACTGTTTTGGATTGCTAGCTATTGGGGGGGGGGATGACGTGCAGATCTGTCCTCGCAGAGGAGGGAGAGCTTGTACCTGAATAAAACTTGGTCTTAAAGGTGCCACTGGACTGTTTTGGATTGCTAGCTATTGGGGGGGGGGATGACGTGCAGATCTGTCCTCGCAGAGGAGGGAGAGCTTGTACCTGAATAAAACTTGGTCTTAAAGGTGCCACTGGACTGTTTTGGATTGCTAGCTATTGGGGGGGGGGATGACGTGCAGATCTGTCCTCGCAGAGGAGGGAGAGCTTGTACCTGAATAAAACTTGGTCTTAAAGGTGCCACTGGACTGTTTTGGATTGCTAGCTATTGGGGGGGGGGATGACGTGCAGATCTGTCCTCGCAGAGGAGGGAGAGCTTGTACCTGAATAAAACTTGGTCTTAAAGGTGCCACTGGACTGTTTTGGATTGCTAGCTATTGGGGGGGGGGATGACGTGCAGATCTGTCCTCGCAGAGGAGGGAGAGCTTGTACCTGAATAAAACTTGGTCTTAAAGGTGCCACTGGACTGTTTTGGATTGCTAGCTATTGGGGGGGGGGATGACGTGCAGATCTGTCCTCGCAGAGGAGGGAGAGCTTGTACCTGAATAAAACTTGGTCTTAAAGGTGCCACTGGACTGTTTTGGATTGCTAGCTATTGGGGGGGGGGATGACGTGCAGATCTGTCCTCGCAGAGGAGGGAGAGCTTGTACCTGAATAAAACTTGGTCTTAAAGGTGCCACTGGACTGTTTTGGATTGCTAGCTATTGGGGGGGGGGATGACGTGCAGATCTGTCCTCGCAGAGGAGGGAGAGCTTGTACCTGAATAAAACTTGGTCTTAAAGGTGCCACTGGACTGTTTTGGATTGCTAGCTATTGGGGGGGGGGATGACGTGCAGATCTGTCCTCGCAGAGGAGGGAGAGCTTGTACCTGAATAAAACTTGGTCTTAAAGGTGCCACTGGACTGTTTTGGATTGCTAGCTATTGGGGGGGGGGATGACGTGCAGATCTGTCCTCGCAGAGGAGGGAGAGCTTGTACCTGAATAAAACTTGGTCTTAAAGGTGCCACTGGACTGTTTTGGATTGCTAGCTATTGGGGGGGGGGATGACGTGCAGATCTGTCCTCGCAGAGGAGGGAGAGCTTGTACCTGAATAAAACTTGGTCTTAAAGGTGCCACTGGACTGTTTTGGATTGCTAGCTATTGGGGGGGGGGATGACGTGCAGATCTGTCCTCGCAGAGGAGGGAGAGCTTGTACCTGAATAAAACTTGGTCTTAAAGGTGCCACTGGACTGTTTTGGATTGCTAGCTATTGGGGGGGGGGATGACGTGCAGATCTGTCCTCGCAGAGGAGGGAGAGCTTGTACCTGAATAAAACTTGGTCTTAAAGGTGCCACTGGACTGTTTTGGATTGCTAGCTATTGGGGGGGGGGATGACGTGCAGATCTGTCCTCGCAGAGGAGGGAGAGCTTGTACCTGAATAAAACTTGGTCTTAAAGGTGCCACTGGACTGTTTTGGATTGCTAGCTATTGGGGGGGGGGATGACGTGCAGATCTGTCCTCGCAGAGGAGGGAGAGCTTGTACCTGAATAAAACTTGGTCTTAAAGGTGCCACTGGACTGTTTTGGATTGCTAGCTATTGGGGGGGGGGATGACGTGCAGATCTGTCCTCGCAGAGGAGGGAGAGCTTGTACCTGAATAAAACTTGGTCTTAAAGGTGCCACTGGACTGTTTTGGATTGCTAGCTATTGGGGGGGGGGATGACGTGCAGATCTGTCCTCGCAGAGGAGGGAGAGCTTGTACCTGAATAAAACTTGGTCTTAAAGGTGCCACTGGACTGTTTTGGATTGCTAGCTATTGGGGGGGGGGATGACGTGCAGATCTGTCCTCGCAGAGGAGGGAGAGCTTGTACCTGAATAAAACTTGGTCTTAAAGGTGCCACTGGACTGTTTTGGATTGCTAGCTATTGGGGGGGGGGATGACGTGCAGATCTGTCCTCGCAGAGGAGGGAGAGCTTGTACCTGAATAAAACTTGGTCTTAAAGGTGCCACTGGACTGTTTTGGATTGCTAGCTATTGGGGGGGGGGATGACGTGCAGATCTGTCCTCGCAGAGGAGGGAGAGCTTGTACCTGAATAAAACTTGGTCTTAAAGGTGCCACTGGACTGTTTTGGATTGCTAGCTATTGGGGGGGGGGATGACGTGCAGATCTGTCCTCGCAGAGGAGGGAGAGCTTGTACCTGAATAAAACTTGGTCTTAAAGGTGCCACTGGACTGTTTTGGATTGCTAGCTATTGGGGGGGGGGATGACGTGCAGATCTGTCCTCGCAGAGGAGGGAGAGCTTGTACCTGAATAAAACTTGGTCTTAAAGGTGCCACTGGACTGTTTTGGATTGCTAGCTATTGGGGGGGGGGATGACGTGCAGATCTGTCCTCGCAGAGGAGGGAGAGCTTGTACCTGAATAAAACTTGGTCTTAAAGGTGCCACTGGACTGTTTTGGATTGCTAGCTATTGGGGGGGGGGATGACGTGCAGATCTGTCCTCGCAGAGGAGGGAGAGCTTGTACCTGAATAAAACTTGGTCTTAAAGGTGCCACTGGACTGTTTTGGACCAGGGGGTCAGTGGGGCTCTGCAGCTTACCTGGCTGCTTCTTGCTTTGACTGAGGGCTGCTGGGAGCAGGGGGTGGGGCTTGTTGCATGTGCCAACCCCCTGAGCTCTTTACTGCCGGAGCTCCGCTCTAACAGGAAATGACCCCTGTTTATCAGCATTCTCCTGTTTTTCCTTCTCAGGTCCTTACTACCCTGGCAACCAAGGCATGGAGTCGAAGATCTCGCCCTTCTGGGTCATGCCTCCTCCAGAGGTAGGTTTGTGACCTGTATAGCAGACTTTTTGGAGGTAGGGTGTGGCAGGAGTAGTGAGAAATTGAGCCCTGGGGTGGTGGGGATAGGGAATGTTTTGAAAACATCTGGACATGAGAATTGCCTGGCTGGATCAGCCCACATTCCATCTATCCGATCTGTCAGTCGTCATCATAGCTAAATGGAACTTCCACTTGCAGGGGCAGTGTAGCTGTTACCCTGTTGAGGACTAGCATCAGCAGGTGGTAAACTCCATCTTGCTCTGTTCGGTTAGCTGGTTTGGGGAGGACGGACATGCAGATCTGCCCTTGCAGAGGAGGGAGAGCTTGTACCTGAATAAAACTTGGTCTTAAAGGTGCCACTGGACTGTTTTGGATTGCTAGCTTGGGGGGGGGGCACAGATCTGCCCTCACACAGATCTGTGCAGAGATAGAGAGAGAAGGAAAAAAGGAGGAAAAGAAAGAAAGAAATAGGAGGAGGCAAAGAGGGAGAGAAGGAGCAGGTGCGGGGCTTGTTGCATGTGCCCGCCCCCTGGGCTCTTTACTGCCGGAGCTCCACTCCTGTGCACTCCTGCAGGAAATGACCCCTGCCTACTGGACCGTGTGCGTGTGGTAGGAAAAGTGGACGGCAGCTGGAAAAGAGGAAGACCCAACGTGAGATGGATTGGCTCAGTCAAGGGGGCCACGGCCCTCTGTTTACAAGACCAGAGGCAAGGCTGTTAACAAGAGGACTCGCCCATGAAGTTGTCTTATCTTGATTCAGGACCTCGGTCCATGAAGATCAATCTTGTCTACTCAGACAGGCAGCTGCTGTCCAAGGGTCTCAGGCAGAGGCTCTGTCACATCACCTACCTGATCCTTTTAACTGGAGACGTCGGGGATTGAACCTGGGCCCTTCTGCATGCCAAGCAGATGCTCTGCCACTGAGCCACGGCCCCTCCCCGGGGATGTTTTGGAGAACGTTAATTCATAGGGTTGCCATAAGTCACTCCTGACTTGACAGCGCTGAACGCACACGTCTATAAATTCAATTTTAATTTTATACGCTACCACTTTGTAAATTTTGCTTTGCCCAAGAGCGATACCTGTTTTAATTCTAAAACAGCCTGCCATCGGGTCTTCGGAAGCTCACTGAGTAGGCTGTGAAGACGCCAGCTGTACCATTCCTCCTCCCTTCCCAGTGTCTACTTCTTGGAGGTACACTGCCTCTGAGCATGGCAGTTCCACTGAGTAAAACCAGAGAAGGAACACTTTTTTTTTTTACCAAGCCTCACAAACTGTGCAGTTTTCCGTCACTAGGTGGTGCTGTGCACCATTCATTGCGGGAGCTGTTATTCGGGTCTCTTTTCTCCTCTCCAGCAAAGACCTTACGATTACGGGATCCCCATGGAGGTGGAAGTCACTTACATCCAGGATGGCTTCCTGACCAACGATGTTCTTCATGAGATGGTATTCCTTTGGTTTTTGTCTAGGCCGTAAATGTGCAGAGACGTTACTACTAATTGCAGTTCGCACGTCCTTCGATTGAATGACGTGGTCCAGATACTGGAGCGGGCCCAATAGGGACCCGTCTCTCCCGGATCCTGGCCTACACTGCCCACAGGCTGGGAAACAGAACTGCATAGTCTTCCTGGACAGACTGGATGCTGACGATAAAAAATCTTGCAACTACTAGGGAAGTATTTTCACAACGGCCCAGAGTGACACTGGCCCGTAGCCAGGATTTTGTGACTTGTGGGTCAAATTTCTTTCCGGTGGGGCTGAAGGTCTCAGTGCAGAAAGAAAAGCCAGAATTCTGAGAATTATGACTTAACTACTCTTCCCTCTCTAAGTCTTCTCAAGCTGTCTATTCTACATAGGGGTTCTTATGCTAGCAATCACCCTTAGCCTATTGACCATTTAGCAAAAAGAAACCTGTTACCAGGATGGATCTCTAAATTGCAAGCTGTCAGCCACTTTAGGTGACAGTTCTCAGCTGCCGCAAGTTAATCACTTCTGCCAGCCAAAGCAACAGTTCTGGTAACAAGCCGGCAGGTGGGAGTGATGACTTCTATAGTCAAGAAAGCTAACCCTTAGGCAGAAAAGCTCTCTCACAGGAGGCCAGCGTCTTGACGCAGAGTTAGAAGGGGTCCTAGAGGTCACCTACTCCAACCCCCTTGTGCAGTGCGGGAATCAGTCAACTACAGCACCCCGCTCTGCTTAAAGGAATGCACGTCTTTTAAAAAAAAATGTTTTGAAATGACTGAAAAAAGCATTTACAGGAGAAATTCTTGTGGGACTGTGTCTTTAAGAAAGGGGGCAGAGCCTCCAAAAGTCCCACTGTAGCTATGGCCCTGGAGTGACATAACAGCAGGTCAGAATCTGTATTTTTTTATACATAGCTGCACTCTGACTTTATATACTAACTGTAGCACATGTTTATGTTGTGCTAGGTGTGTTGTAGGAATTTCTGGGTATGTTCCCCCCCTGCAAAACACACACAC